AAAGGAAACCAAAAAAAAATTCTCCTTTTTTTTCTTCAGAATTGTTTACTAATCTAACTACATCGTGTGTAGTACCTATTCTAGAATCAAAGGAAACCAAAAAAAATTCTCCTTTTTTTTCTTCAGAATTGTTTACTAATCTAACTACATAGTGTGTAGTACCTATTCTAGAATCAAAAAGCAAAATAAAAGTATAATATCAAAATATAAAAAGTTGAAGAGTTTGTCTGTTATTGCTTTTTAGTTGATGAATTTTCAAAGTTGATAATTTAAGTAACAAATACTCCTATACTAACAGAATGTTGATTGACAATCTTCAATGTTAAAGTCAAACAAAATCTAAATCTGAGCCCTTTTCTTTCTTCAATTATTTCATTAATATTTGAATTGACTGATTCAAATGGCAACAGTAAAGACTGAAGCATGAATTCAGTGTCTAACACTAAGCAAAAGACGTTATTAATATTATACGACTAGCTATCTGTGTTACAAAATATTTTACTGAATTTATAAACTATCGAGAGCAATGTTAAAATTATCACGAAGTAACAAGTACTTATAAAATTTTCTAACTTGGTTCTATAACCTCTATATTAGAAATCTTAATAGAAAAAAGGTGTTAATACATTAAAATCTGATATATGGTAGATTATACTGTGTCTCAAGTTATATTGCCTATGCTCCTTTTGTTAGTTTTTTACACTTGAAGAAAACAAAGAAAATGTGGTTTGTGCCATCTAAAACTGCTGACTTAAATGCTAAGGGATTCCTGTATGAAGGGTTCGAGCATAATCTTCACTACTGAGCTAACTATATATTAATCAAAAGCCAATTATTGCACAATCCTCACTTTTTATTAGCATCACAAACTGAAAAAGAACTAGCTATAGTAGCGCCCTTGAACCTCTTCATAAAGAAATTAGCAGAATACTGAGACATTGATCTAATTCACTCATCTCTAAGCTATGAACAAAAGTCAGCAACCAAATAGAAATATGGACCAAAGAAACAAGACCAATCGAAAACCAATTAGAGCATCTATTCACCACATTTTACTCAATTAAGTAATTTGCAAGAACAATTATCAAACAGGCTGCAATGAGCCACTGATACATGCAAAGATGAACACATATTAAAACTTGAAGAAGAACAATATCCTATGCTTAGTATATACATTACAGTTTCACAACCAAAACTGTAATGTTCGGTACTATTTTACTTATAATTCTTTTGACTCGGGCACCAAAAAATAATTATGTTAAAACAAGACAAGAGATTCTGGATGTAATTACCTTGTGTGAATCGGAGTTCCAATATTTAAGAAGATACTTAAAGTGAGATTCCGGAACATCTACTGGCCTATCATCATTCTCATAGGCTGTGAAGTGGGTTGCCTTCAATTGACTCTTATACTTTCTCCAAGCACTACAAACTGATTCAAAAACCCATTGTTTCGCCTCGTCGGGAATGTCATATTTTTCCTACAAATTTAGTGCAATTGGGTAAGTGTAAGAAATAAGAAATATCATCCATGTTTATTGGACATTGGAAACTTCATACCTTGATATATTTCCACATATCATCTTTTGCGTCTAGTTTCCTCCAATTAAATACATTAAGACGACAAAAAGTCCCACTCCTTACCAATGTGCCGAGGAAGCTACCCAACTCTTTTACAACCTCTTTAGTAGGATCAACGGGTTGATTATACTCATTTAGAATGATTATTTTACGCTCCTTTCTACCATGAACACTTGACATTTGAGTACGACCTCTTTTTCTTTTTGGCGAGGAGGGGCCTGCAATAGTACAAAACAAAGATAATCATTAATCACTATTTTTAGTTAAGTTTATGATTACAATTTATATATATTTGCCTTGTTCCTCAATTTGTTCAGCTGCTTCATGAGTGGTAGAATCATCAGATCGTTCATGTACTCCCTGTGATGCAGAATTTTTACTGAAGAAACCTGAAAATAGACTTAGGAAACATTACAATCAAGCTCCTTGTGCGTAATCAGATTTAACAAGCTATAGTTATTGATCTAGCACACAAGTGTTAGTTATGCAGTAACCTGGTATTAAAGGCTAGAGTACTATTTATAATTCATCACAAATGTTGAAACATATCATTTCTTGAGCTTTTACCTTCTGAGTCAATAAGTGAATTCCTCTGGGAGATGCTGACTCTTTATAAAGAAATAACACATGCATACTACAACTGGACATATGTTTTTTTTATTCCAAATTTTGTTCAATTTAGTTAACTTTTTCAATGAGTAGCCAAATCATTAAGAAGGTAAATCAGTTAGCAAGAAAGCTTAAAGCATGGTAATATCTCACTTGACTTCTTCATTTGCGTCATATTTATGGTTCAATTACTGGCGTTCACTTCTCGGATAAAGTGTAAGTGATTCAACTAATATTTGCCTTTGGTTTATATTTCTGGTTGACTGTTCTTGTAGGCTTGTGCTATATACAACTGGTAGCCAATGTTATCAGTTTTGTCAAAGAAGTGTGAGCTACATACCGTGGTCTTATTTCTGCTTTTTGTAAGCAGAGTTAGCTCTAATTGTTGCTAACTAAGAAGCTTACTTGGTTTTGACAGCTCTTATGTATGTTCAAGTTCCCATGTCGTGCTTATTCTTTGGTGGTGGGTCCACACAGTTTCTAATAAGTCGAGATGGCGGGGGTAAGATACTTTAAAATGTGCAAAAGCTTCTTGAATCTCCTCTATTAGATTTTCTTACACACTGCTATGGGAATTGTATTTTTTACCTATGGAAACTGAGAATAAACTAAGCCTTTTTTGAAGTTGAATAAAGAGGAATTCAAAGTTATAAATAATTGATAACAGTAATATGTCCTATTACTGTTATCTTCTAGTCACTTTGGGGAAATGGTTTTCACATACATAGAGACGAAAATTGAAAGAAAGGAACAAACAATATAATCATTACTAATATACTCATGATAGCATTGCTCCTGTCAAACACTGCACCTAAAGTACACTGAACCTAAAGTAAGTGCTAAGGTTGGGTTTCAATGAAGCATATTAGTTGTGAACTTCAAATGACAAACAATACAACGAAACCAAATAAGGGTAGGTCCCAGACAAGATAAAAGGCAAAAAATATCACAAGTTTCCATTGTCAGTTGAGATAAAAATCATCAAGATCCAAACTTTATAAAAATTTGTAACTCTACTAAGACAAGTTATATCTTCCACATAAATGAAATTACCATAAAGATACAACTAAAAGATAAGGTAATAAACTGCACACCACAATTGCCTTTTTGACTGTAGTAACAACTCTTTTCTTTCTCCAATTCAAAGACAAGGAATATCAACAATACCAATATCACTTAAAACACTAGCAGAAGACGACACATTAAACCTAAAATTGAAGAATTCACTGTTAAATTAATTTTGGAATTTGGGGATTTGGGGAAGGTCAGCAACTGTCCTTGAAATGAATCTATAAGGAGTTGAAAGACACTAGAAGTAGAAAGATCTTAGGTTTCTAGATTTGGATTTTAGGAGTGAAAGAGAGGACTTTGGAGGAATGAATCTTTGAGAGGCTAAAAGAAAGAGATTTGGTTTTACTGGATGTATCGAATAGTAGTACTGTTCTTTGGGCTTTGGATGTATCGAAGAGTATACTGAAGGTGGGCGGGTTTAATTACTGGGAAAAGGGGAAAAGGGATTTAACTTTATATTTACATTATTAAAATTAACTAAAAATATAAAAAAATAAGGTTGATTTGGCGGGTTTAGAAAATTTCAGGCGGTAAAATGAGGAGGGAATGAAAACCATTCCAATTAAAAAATATTTCTCCCCAACCGTTCCTATAAATATGTATAGTGGAACGGTTTATAGATCCGTTGCGGAAAAATCTTCTATGGCAACGGTTCTGTTACAACTGCAACGGTTTGATAGTTAAAGTGCACTGATACCACCCAAATGCTATTGTAACGGTTAAAACCGTTACTATATCCGATATATGGCAACGGTTTGTGAACCGTTGCCAAAAAACGTAGTCGTAGGCCCATTTTTTAGTAGTGCCCCGAGTTTATTTCTGCTATTTTGATTTGCCGGGACGTTCGATTTTGAGTTTCGAAGAGTTTTGGGACACTCAGTTCCTGAATGAGAGCTTAAGTGTTGGAAAGTTGATTGTAGTCAAAACAATGTGAAGACGGCCTCGGAATGAAAATCTGATGGTTTTGTTAGCTCCATTGGGTGATTTCGGGCTTAGGGGCGTGTTCGGATTGTGTTTTGGAGGTTCGTAGCTAATTTAGGCTTGAAATGCCGAAAGTTAAATTTTTTGAAGTTTCCGGTTCGATAGTGGGATTTTGATCCGAGGGCCGGAATGGAATTCCGGAAGTTGGAGTAGATCCGTACTGTTTAATGTGACGTGTGTGCAAAATTTCAGGTCATTCGGACGAGGTTTGATAGACTTTTTGATCGAAAGTGTATTTGTAGAGTTTTTGGAATTCTTAGGCTTGAATCCGATGAAAAATAGGTGTTTTGATGTTGTTTTGAGCGTTCCGAAGGTTAGAACAAGTTTGAATGAAGTTATGGGATATGTTGGTAGGTTTGGTTGAGGTCCCGGAGGCCTCGGGATAATTTCGGATGGTTGACGGAAAGATTTTTGGAGTTGGAGTTGCGGCTTCAGCTATTCTTCTGTCATAACCGCACCTGCGAGTGTGAGACCGCAGGTGCGGAGCCACAGAAGCAGCGGATCAACCGCAGAAGCGGAATTGGGGAAGATCAGCAGAGACCGCAAAAGCGGTAGAGTTTCCGCATGAGCGTTACCGCATTTGTGGAAGGGGAGTCGTAGATGCGGAAGATATGTTTAAGTGAGAAGTCACAGGTGCGACAAGTGTTCCACAAAAGTGGGACCGCAGATGCAGTAACAGCTGGGCAGAAATATCAACTTTTGAGGGTTTAGTTTCAAAAGTTGGAAATTCGATTTAGGGCTTGGGAGAGGGAGATTTTGGGAAGAGATCAGTGGGTAACAATGCTTTAACCTTTTCTAGTTATATTCTATCAATCTATAGTTAGTTTCATCATTTAATTTCGGATTGGAGATGAAAATTGGGGAAAAGTTGGAAGAAAGTTCTTAGACTTAGAATTCAACTTTTGATTGGGAATTTGACCTTGGATTTGGATAATTTTGGTATGCATGAACTCATGAGAGCGTGAGGATTCTAAAAATATAAATTTTACCCAATTCCGAGATGTGGGCCCGAGGGGCATTTTGGTCATTTTTATCTAATTTTGCGTATTAGCTTAGAATTTCTTTGTAGAATCAGTTAATTGAAGTGTTATTAATATTATGCAATTGAATTGAATAGATTTGGGCCATTTGGAGTCGAGTACTCGTGGCAAGAGCGTGGTTTCGGATTTATTTTGAGCCGGTTCGAGCTAAGTGGCTTGCCTAACCTTGTGGGCGGGGACCTTTCCCCTTAGGATTTGGCATATTTGGTAATTGAAATGCCTTGTACGTGAGGTGACGAGTGCGTACTTGTGCTAATTGTTGGAAATTCGGTTTTCATTAAGTAATTACTAGTATGTTTCCTTTCCTATTTTTATTATTCGTACTATTAAGCATGTTGTTAGCTTAGGAAAGTATGTCTAAGTGATTTAATTGCGTTATTTGCTCAAACTGCCTTATATGAATTCTATGCAGCATGCTAGGCTAAAATTACTTGTTGCCTTAATATGAAATTTGCCATTTCTGAATATTTTTCTGTTGCTGTTGTGTATTTACATTGAGACTACGGATGTGGGATTCCGGTAGATCCCCCTTGTCTGTTTATTTGGGACTATGGATGTGGGATTCCGGTAGATCCTTCTACACAGTTATATGGAACTACGGAACTGCACCCGGTAGATTTCCCCAGTACTGGGTATTTATATTTGGGACTACAGATTAGCATTCTAGTAGATCCCCGCGCACTGATAGTTGGACTACGGGATGAGATCTCGGGAGATCCTTCGGATATATATGATGGACTATGGGATAGTATCCTGGGAGATCCACTGGATAGATGTAATTGGGACTATAGGACGGTATCCTGGAAGGTACCCCGGTTGTTATCTCTGTGTTGAGTTGTATTTTCTTTCCGTGATTATTTTACCTTTGTTCTAGTTGTTGTTTCTCTTTCTACTCTATGTTACTTCTTACTGTTGCACTTAGTTATATTGTATTGTTCTACACTGTTATACTTTGTATTTTATTTAACCTCAGTAGGACCATGACCATCCTCGTCAAAATCCGATCGAGGTTAGACTTGGCACTTATTGAGTACCGCTGTGGTGTACTCATGTCCCTTCTGCGCATATTTTTTATGTGCAGATCCAGGTACTGCGACTTAGTCCTATAGCCCTTGAGGCGAGGCAACTTCTCCAGCAACTTTGAGGTATATCTGCTACGTCCACAGACCGAGGAGTCCCTTTCTATGCTAGCATTTAAACATTTGCCCTTCTGTATCTTTTCCTTGTTAGATATTCTGGAGTTAGAGTACTGTGTAGTGATCCTTAGCTTGTGATTCATGGGTTTCCGAGTCTTGAAGTATGTATTGGTTTCTGAGAGTTAAATATTGTGTATGCCGAGCGGCACTTTTAAACATTGTCTTATTACTGTAATTTTGTTTTAAATTATTTTACTTCCGTAATTTAGGCTTACCTATTCGTAAGGACTAGGTGTTGTCACGATGGTTCATGGAGAGCGAACCGGGGTCGTGACAAGTTGGTATTAGAGCTCTAGGTTCATAGGAGTCATGGATCACAAGCCGGTTTATTAGAGTCTCGCTGATCAATACAGAGACGTCTGTACTTATCTACGAGAGGCTATGTAACTATTAGGAAAATTTCACTTCAATTGATTTCCTTGTCGTGTGATATTTTGATATCACAATTCTAAACTTCTGTCTTTTATTCTCTCACAGATGGTGAGGACATGTGCTACCCGAGATGATCAGGCACTCGCGCCCCCGACTGCAGCCGTCAGAGGCTGGGGTCGGGGTAGAGGCCGAGGACGCGCATGTGGTGCATCCAATGCACCTGCGCGAGCTACCGCCGAGGTACCACCATCAGTTCCAACCGGAGTCCAGGCACCTGACACGCCTACTGCTATTACTACTTCAGCTCTTCAGGAGACTCTGACACAGTGAATGTGCATGTACACCACTCCATCTCATGCAAGGTTGTTTCCCCTTGTTGCAGCTACATCTCAGGACGGGGGAGGAGCACAGACTCCCACCGCCCGCACTCCTGAGCAGCGAGTGTATGTTGAGTAGGTCCCTAAGATTATTCCTGTATAGCTTGCAGTCCTAGATCATCCCGAGGAAAGGGCAGCGACTTCCGAGGAGGAGCAGCTGAGGCTTGAGAGGTTCAAGAGGTGCAAGCCTCTTATATTCAGTGGTCTAGCATTGGAGGATGCTCTAGGATTTCTAGATGAGAGTTACCACATTCTCCGTACCATGGGTATATCAGGATCGAGCGGGGTTTCCTTCACTACGTTCCAGCTTCGAGGAACCGCCTATGAGTAGTGGCTCACCTATGAGTTAGACAGTCCAGATGAGGCTGCTTCGCTGACTTGGACTTAGTTTTCGAATCTGTTCCTGAGAGAGTATGTTCCTCAGAGCCTCAGGGACGCATGGTGCGCAGAGTTTGAGCATTTGCGCCAGGGTACTATGACTGTCTCAAAGTATGTTGTCTGTTACACCAATTTGGTTAGGCATGCACCAGCCTTGGTTTCTATTGTTCGCGAGAGGGTTCACTAGTTTATTGAGGGACTTATTCCCAACATCAGGTCTAGCATAGCTCATGAGTTGGAGATGGATATTTCTTATTAGTAGGTGGTGAACATTGCTAGGAGGATTGAGGGTATGCATGCTAGGGAGAGAGAGGAGAGGGAGGCCAAGAGGTCTCAAGAGTCAGGCCATTTCTTTGGTGCCCATGCCCCAGTAACAGGTCGTCATGGTAGGGGTTATATGAGTTGCCCTATTTATTCAGCTCTTCCAGCAGCCAGTGGTATTCCAGCTCCTCCTAGACCTCAGGAGCCTTATTATACACCTTTGGTATCTAGTGTGCCTTCTGTGCGGGGTGCTTTCGGAGGTCAGTCCAGCAGACCTGGCCCGAGCTAATCACAGCCACCACGTCCTTTTAGAGCTTGTTTTGAGTGTGGTGACACACGTCATATAGTGAGGGATTGCCCCAGACTTGGGAGGGGTTCACCTCCACAAACTTCTCAGCCACAGCGTTCCCCGTAGTGTTCTCAGGTTATGGTTATAGCTCCAGTTGCTACCCCCACCTGCTCAGCCAGCTAGAGGTG